ACTCTGTTACTAACCTATTACTGACTTATACATCGCTATTTATAGGCTTATATTATTTAATAAATTCTAGAGAGTCAAGTTATGATATTAATATTATTTTCTAAGTTTATAATGAATAAGACTTACAAAAATGTTCTTTTTAAAAATAAAAAAAAACATTTATATAATTTTATATAACATTTATTCAATTCAATCCAATAAATGTTGTATTACCGATAATGAAGTATTACCGAAGTTGTATTACCGAAGTGACGTATATAAATTTACTACGAAAATTATATATTTTGTTATTTTCTTTGTTTATATAAAATGTTGTTTAATCTTCTCTCAACCTTGACCTAATTATTTCAACTGCTTGAAATTAAAGAATAACTATGGACACTTAATAAACATATGATATTAGTTGTCAATTTGAAAATGTCGGCGAATAACTGTTCGAACTATCGCTGTCAGCAGTATATTTGTAAAATTATGATATTCCAGCCATTATTATGACATTAATTTTATTCACAACTTGTTATAACTAATAATATATAAAATATAGAATATAAGAACACATATTTAGGATAAATATGGACCTATATTAACTAATTAAAAAAAAAACGAGTTGTCACAAATGCAGACACGGTCACAATTAGGATATGATAAATATCATATTATAGCTTTATATTTTATTTGGTCTCTCAAACAAAAGAACTTCTTTCACACAGATCTCAAGTAGAAATTAAGAAAATGAAATTCAAAAGAGTAAACACAATTCGACGATTTTTCTCTCGCAAATAGACACAAAGTATTTCTTTGTCCTGTTTTGAAAACGCGACGCTTATATCATCGGACTATATTGATACGTCATAATAATAATCTTATTACAAAGTATCGTAATTATAGTCTGGTTACAATGCATCATAACTGATTAGGGTGACATTGCAATAACAAATGACGTTGTTACTTTAATAATTTTTCGAATGACCATTATATACATTACAAGCAAACGTTTAAAAGTTATATAGTACCATTTGTATATCGATTATATAAGTATCTTATTTGTTCGTTAAAAATGCGTGAGACGTCATAGCAGACTATATTAGTTTTATAGTAGAATATTTTGCATTTTCATGTGCATCAAGTATATTGTGCTTTATCCGTACCTTATCCGTGTCGACAATATTTGTACTTTACCCGTGTCGACGATAAAAATAATGATTTGCTACTTTAATTTGTTTGATATAGAATATACAGAGCGTCTCAGACTCTTCTTCTCAATTTTTATAAGAACGAATTAAGATGAACATAAAAGTCCTATATCGATATTTGCAATAATAGTCGAGATACTAATTAAGGGTTGGTAAATGATCACGCGCGATATGATAAATGAGCTGTAGTGGCAATGTGTACTGTTATGTGCTTGTACATTAGATCAAATTGAACAAAAAAGCCCTTTATCATTTTGCAAATAACCACGCAGATTTTTAGTTATTAATGAAAGAAAATTGTTAGATTATTGTGCGCAATAATACACAAATCTTTAATTCCTTTCTACGTTCCCCCAAAAATTGCGGAGGATAGTCTAAGACACTCTTTATATATTTTCATTAAGATCCGAGAGTGTTCTAACAAACTTATTTTTATTTAAGAAAGTGAATTTTTTATTCAAATACGAACGAGCAAATGAATTTATCATTATCTTCTTTAAGTATTAAATTAAAATCTAACAGCGATCAACGGGATAATTTTTTCGTTCTTATGTGATGTAACTCACGAAAATTTTCTTATATTTTATAAATAATTATATCTTAATTTCTTTTCAAATTTTATATAAACTGATTAAATTGATAAAAATCATTCCAATATACCTCGCCTTTACTATAGATATCACAAAATATAGAAGAAAATATTTAAATTTATCTAAAATATAAAAAAACTTAAACAAAATTGAAATCATATAATTTCGAGAATACTGTTTTGAAGAATAAGGATAATAGCTCTCGAATAAAGTGTCCTAAAATGCTCGATAGTCATAAAAATCTTATATTGTTTACTCATCTCTCGACAGTTAGCAGAATCATTCAATCTGGATGAAACCAAGAAAGCAAGAACACGAAAAGGCATAACCACTCGTAAAACAAACCAATCGAAATAGCAGTTTCGACAGGATTATAGAACTTTTGTCTGTTGCAGCCTCAGCATTAGAATGAATATTTAGTTTCGGTACATTGAACAAATAGTGCACACATCCGAATCACAGCCGTAAACGCTAAACACGTACAGAGAGAGAGAGAGAGAGAGAGAGAGAGAGAGAGAGAGAGAGAGAGAAAGAGTAACAAAATTATAAATGATATATTACCTGGTAAAATCTTAACTTTACATACATTATTTTTAGCAAATAATTGCAATGATCGATTAATCGTGAATAATCAAAAGCTCGATGTATGGCATCTCAATGATAGTTATATTGACTGGCGAATTTTCGCGAAAAAGATATTGAATAATTATTAATAAAATTCGAAGAAAGGATTTTTATATATCAAAGAAATCAAATAATAAATATTCTGGCAGCAGTTTCTGCATTTGTCGGAATGACGAATTTAACGAAGCGAAATTTACACACATAATTAAAAATGGTGTAAGAACAAGGAAAAAATTCACAAATATATCTGAAAAATATATAATAAGATAATAAGATAATAGTATGTAATGAGACAAAATTCTTAAAAAAACTTAACGCCAAAATAAATAATTTAACTACGACAAATTACTAAATTCAAACAACGTTGACTGACATTTTTTTCTATCGTATAAAAAGAAAGTCGATATATCGGCATTAACAAAATAAATATCTGTCGTCAATGGTTCTGTAAAAATGTCGTCCGACGTTGGATTGTCGTCCTTCGCGATCATTGATACGAACTTGAAGGTCAACCACTCCTGAGCCTGTGCTGGTGCGTCAACTTATCGAAATCGCATATAAATGCAATTCGAAAGATTTTATTCAACAAATAAGTCACTTCTCTTTCTTTTCTTCACTTTGTTATAAAAAAAAATATAGAAAACAAGAAAGAGACACATATCAATAATTTACAGCTTTTCCTATATGAAAAGTCTTTTTGACTCGATATTTCTATCGCAATAGGTCGTAAAAGTTGCAAAGTTTGAAAATTGAGAATGATACACAGCGTACAAATTGATGCGAACATCGCGGAAATGGCATACTTTCGTAAAAACAATATATACGAAATATGGTTTATACTGTTTTCAGTCTGAGCGTAGTTTTCAACTTACCATGATTCTAATCTGCCAAGAGAAATCGTTAAATGATTTTTTTATTCATTCATGGACGAATTATGTGTATAATTCTTCACGACCGACGTCGATTTTTAATAAAGTTAAGTTTAACAAAAAAAGAACACATTCTCAGATTAAAAAACCGAATTTTTAAAGAAAACTAGAACACTACAGAGGCTCGTACTTTATATATATACATATATATATATATATATATATATATATATATATAATATAATATAATATAATTAAGGATATTTAATTAATATATAATTTAATTTTTATAATTAAGGATTATATTAATGAGAATGTGTTTTTTGTTAAACTTAACTTAATTAAAAATCGATGTTGGTCGTGAAGAGTTACACAC